ATCGCGCGGCATGCAAAAACCCCCTTAGACTGCCCACGAAGCGGAGCCATCCAACAGCCAATACAATGCAAGGAAAGCACGGCAGGTGCCGGATCCTGCCGGAGGTCCGATTTCAAAGTGTGCGATTTGCCTTTTACCCCGACATACCCCCCAAACAAAAGATAGGGAACCATGAGAAGTGGCCATGATCAATCCCCAGCCGAGCCTTGAGCTCGGGGCAGGCGCTGGAAGATCAGAAGGAAGCTTTGAGGCAAGGGTGGCCGCGTTTGGGAGTTTGGAACCAGGGCAGCACTGTAGGGCGTAGGAAAACTTAGGAGTTTGCAGCCGAGCTCATGTGCCGGCTGCCGGCAAGGCGAAGTCCGACAGCCTGCGGGTCTTACCGACATATGGATTCCCGAAGTATTATGACTATTCACCCATCCTTTCCATGAAAAAAGACGAGGGGGGGGGGGGGGGGGGGATCGTACAGCTCTTAGCAACAAGTGGAGGAAACTTAGCGTGCAGCATTTTCTGGCTTTGGTGGCTTCTTTTCAGGGTGCTGTCGGGACTGAGCTTATGAGTTCAAAGTCTAAAGGCCCGAGGCCGTGAGAGTGGGGGTCAGCTTGCAGGCGTGATTTAGATGGAGAGCGCGAGACGCTGAGACTGCTGTCGCCTGGTGCTCAGAAATCTCCGCATATCCGGGTGTCAGGGTAAGATGTTCAGCACGGGGCTCCAAAAAGGCCAGCCGCGGCCAGTCGCGACTGAAACGTGGGGTTGGGAGAGTTGCTGAAGGAACCAAGATCCGTGCTCCTGAGGACAAGTGCAAAAGAAAAGCTTGAATCGGCGCAGTGGGAGGCCAGCGCAGGTCGGTGGAGAGGTCTGTCAATGTTTGAGAGGATGTAAGCTTGATCCGATTCTTGACTGCTGAAAGAGCATTGCTCAGCAAAAACGCCAGCACAGGATACTGCAAAGTCCTGCTTCCGCAATATTCGTGAGGCGAATCGGCGGGCCGGCAAGGCAACGGCGAAGCTGGAGGCCTCTGTTGTTTGCCGTTGCGGACTTAGCAAAGTTGTCCATATTAATATTATAAAAACTATGAATATTATGAACATTATGAATTATGAATATTATGAATATTATTACTACTATTGTAATTATTATTCTTCTTCTTCTTATTCTTATTCTTCTTATTATTTTCGTTGTTTGTACTGCAAATTGGGTGTCCAAGACTGATGCCAGGGTGCGGGTCAAATTCTGCAGCGCGCGCAGGAAAACTCCATTATCTGCAGTAGAGACTTTGGGGCTTTTGGTCGTGGGCCCGTGTGCAAAGAACGATCGCCTCCAGGAGGAGAGGTTTTAAGCTTGAGTTTAAGGTACTCGTATCCGTCGTGTCCCTTACGTTTCTTGTATGCGGGGAAGGGCTTTCAACAGTTTGCTCAAGTCGCCCCATGCATGTGACAATGTGGACTTCTCCGATGTCACCCACATAGTTATAATTGGGGAACTGCCCGGACTGGAACACGCTTTGAATTGGATCATGGCTTGTGCTGCAGAAGTTGCTTTCTTGGATAGCGCCTTTGCGGTCAGAGAAGTTTAGCGGCTCTCGAATGACGAGGCAGCGAACCAGTTGTAGGCTACTAACCTTGCAGATGGGAAATCAGCTTCCCAGTCTAAGTGTCATAAAGTGTCATGAGTCACGAATTCCACCCTGACCTGGACCCTGATGAATGCTTCAGAACATGCTACGGTATGCAGGCGCAGGTGGCCTCGCAAGAGAACCTGGTGCAGAGCTGCCTTGCTTGAGCAGATGTTAGTTTGAACGGAACCCTCGCAGGCGTAGCAAGTATGATTAGCTTGAAGGCAGCCTGAAGGGTTCGTGCAGTCCGAACAGCCCTTTTTTCTGCCATCTGACGCAACTGGCTGCTGCAAACATAGTCGCTCGTCAAGGTCTACTTCAGCAGCTCCACCAACGCACCGAGGAGCGCGATGCAGGTGTCGGCACTTGCACACGCTGTCGTTGGGGCAATCAGCTGCTGCTACTTGTACATGGGTCGTTCGTGGGTTGTCTCTAGTTACCAGTTTCGCAAATTGCTGGCTAAAGGTTTGTTGAATGGCGCTGTGTGCAGACTTCTGCTTCCACTTACCTATATCCAGGCAATTCTAGATTCTTGATTTGCATTTCATATAGCATCTTCTTCAACGGGTGCTGTCTGCCTTCCGAGAGCAACGAGGCAAGAGGCATGTCGCGCAGCTGCAGAAGCACATGCAGAAGCAGGCCGGGTCGCGGAGCGCGAGTCAGCAGCGTGTTCAAAATCCGCCTTTGTTGTTTGCTGAGCGATTGTGCAAGGAACTTGAAGCGTCCTCTGATCATTCCCAGCAGGTCATGCACTGCTGCACAGCTTCATCTCCCGAAACCCCCCTTTGCAGAGCTGTGGCAGGAGTTGAAGGCACTGCAGGACGCCATCAGCGAGACTTGCTTCGCCAATAGTAGGACTCTTCTGTAGGAAGCCCCTTGGCCCAGACTTCGCCCCTGGATTTCAAACACGTGCGTAAGCCTTCAAACCCTCCGCAGTGTGCCTTGCGCGCGGTGGGTGGCAAAAAATCCTTAATTTTAACGCTACGCGACCCGCCTCGGCCCGGCCCAGCGCATCCGCGTGAGCATGGTGATTCCGCAGCGCCCAAGTCGCTGGACCCCAAGCAATAAGGGTTGGGTTTAGGGTTCAGGGTTTAGGGTTCCGGGTTTATGGTTTATGGTTTAGTTTAGGATTGAGGGCTTAGGGCTCAAGGTTCACGCTTTGGGGTTTAGGGTTTTTTTGGGAGTAGGGTTCAAGACGGTTCGGCTTGGATTGATCGTAGGGTTGAGCCAGGCCGCTCAGGGGCGCAGGGGGAGGTGGGGGGGAAGGGGGGCAGGGGAAGGGGGGGGGAGGGGGGTGGTTGAGTGTCACAAGCTTGACAGGAAGCCACACGAAACAACCTCTCCCAACCATTAATAGAGGCCCATTCCCATGGGGCCTCCCACCTGGGCCCCCCCCCCCCCCTCAACCTGGGCCCCCCCTGCCCCCCTGCCCCCCGCCCTGCCCCCCCCCCCCACAAGCCTGACAGCCATCAACGGAGGCCCATTTGCATGGATGGGGCCGCTGCCCCCCCCCGCCCCCCCCTCTTGCCCCGCCCCAGCCGCCCTGCCCCCCCCCTCAATCAAGCCACAAGCTTGACAGGAAGCCACACGAAACATCCCAACCATTTAAATTCTCTTTTCATTCAGCGGGTTCCCCCCCCCCCGTCCCCCCCCCCCTGCCCCCCTGCCCCCCATCTTCACAAAAATCTCCAACCATTTATAGAGGCCCGTTTTCATGGGCCCCGGAAGGGGTGGGGGGGGGGGTGGGGGGGTGTGGGGGGGGGGGTGGGGGGGTGGGTGGGGGGGGGGGGGGGGCCAAGCTTGACAGCGGCTACACGAAACAACCTCTCCCCCCCACTCGGGGGGGGGGGTGGGGGGGGGTGGGGGGGGGTGGGGGGGGGGGGGGGGGTGGGGGGGGGGTGGGGGGGGAGAAGGGGGGAAAAAAAGGGGTCCGAAAAGTGGCTTTGGGTGTGGGGGGAGGATTTGGAGGGGGGTGCTTGTTCTGACAACCTATACACCTCCGGCCCGAGGCCTCGGCGGACTTCTGCTTGATATGTTCTTGTTTGGATTTGTGGGCCCGCAACCATTTCAAACAGAATCCTGCAGCTTCAATCGAAATCAGAGGCTTTTTGCTTCCCCTAAATCAAGCCCCTTCAATGGAAAGACAAGGCGCGACTCCAGCATCTCCCGGACTCCCTCGAGAATGTTGAGGAAGAGATGGACAGCGGCCAGCGGCTGCCTTAGCATCTCTCAGGACGTCTGAGGGCCACGAGCTCGGGATGTTCTTGGAGTGCCAAGGTTTAGAACTCGGTGTTGTGGCGCAGTGAAGGTGTCTCGAAGGTGTCTTGTAGGGTCGTCGGTTTCGCTGGCTCATGGCTTCGGGGTTATGTGAAATCGAAGCTTTCAACAAAAAGCAGCGCGTTTGCCTGTGGAGCGAGAGGGCGAGCCTTGTGTTTGGGGATTCCATGAGGGTTTCCTTTCTGAGCCCCCAAGCTCGGAAGCCGATCCTTTTGGCCTTACATTGTGATTCTCCACGTGTCATGGTCTCAGCTAACGTGGCTGTCAAATCCCGATCGCGGGCGAAGAAACACCCGGAGAAGAAAGCATCTGGCCTTGCTTTTGCAGCAAGCACGAATTGGGGGTGAAACCGAAAATCAAAGTTCATCAAGTTGCACATGGTCCTGTATCACTGAGTGTCGCCAACCACCTACCAAGGACAGACAATTCGGAAGTGTTGTCCCGTCTTCGTGGCCAGGCATCGAATGGCAAGCCTCTTGTCGACGATCGCTGCGCATGGGCGTGTGAAGGGCTGAACAGAGCTGCCGCATACAGAGTATGACGTTTTTTTGTGTTCCGTGCAAACTGATCCACTATCCACCTAGCACCGCCACAACCCCTAGGGACACCCAGCAAAATGAAGCGTCGGGAAGTAAACGCAAGTTTTCCCACAGCCCAGACGAAGAAGACCCCGGAGCTTTGCAGAGTTGCCGGACTAGCACTACTAGCACCTTGGTGGCCAGGCGCTGTGTTTGTGGAGGGCTCATCCTAAAGCAAGAGCTTCGCGAGCCATGTGAGCCAGAATCCTACTATTATAAGAGCCACGCAGCCAACCTGAGCAAGCATGGCACCATCCTTTGACGATACCTGATGGACATCCAAAGGTAGCTGATGCATGATTGGGCGAAAGCATGTGCCAAAGCGTTGCCCCACGCTGAGAATGAGATTCCCCCGCGATGACAAGGTGGATGCCGCACAGACAAAAAAAGGTGCACACTTGAAGCAGTGTTTAGCTTTGCCTCTTGCCGAGCCGCGGCTTGCGGTGAAAATGCTTGCCATCATCCCTGAATCATTCGTCATGTCGTTGCTGCAGTTACCCGGTTACCCCAAATGTGTCCAAGCTTCCGAGGACTTACAGGTCGGCAAGCCCTCTGCAGGCTCTCTAGCTGCCCGTGCCGGACGCTGAGCATCGGCGCTGGCGAGATGCAGAGCTGGAGCATCCTGGAGCTGAGGTGGTGACTTTGCTTAACAGGCCTGGAGAGGCCACAGTCCTGCCATGGGAGTTTCCGTGCGATGCGTGGTGCATCGATGCCCTGGTGTAGCAGGTGCCCATCATTACGATCTGCTGCGACATGCCCGAAGCCCTGCGCCTGCTTGACTAGCTATCACTAGGCATGTTTTCATGCCAAGGCCAGGCACGGGATGCGCTTCCTATATACCAACCGTCATGACTGGAAGAAAACGGCTGATCAAAGAGCGGGAGCCCGCCTCCCCCGGATGACTAGTTTTGAATGCCAGCTGCGATTGCGAGGTCCGGCGAGCTCTTCGCCATGTCATTTTACAACACTGAGTTCCAAAAGCTGCAGCAGGCCTGGCTTGGCCTGCGGGCCAACAGCCCTAAACCCAAACAGATGAGCGCGACCCCCCGAACATCCCCCCAACCCTTCCACCGCAAAATAGTGCGTCTGCAACATTCGATTGTGAAGGCCACATGTCTTGTCGATGCCCGGTTCTACATTCCGGCACCCGACAATGTCAAGCCCCCCTGCACTTGCACAAGGCGATTGTTCCAGGGAAGACGGTGTTGGCGGCCGGGAGCTCATACCGTCGAGATTCTCGAGATACCCTCGAGCCCATCCCTGCAAGTGTGCAGCGTCAGAAAAAGATTCTGAGCAAACCCGTAGGAACCAACATCCGACGTCCTACGCCATAAGCGCGAAGCCTTTAGGACGGGTGCCCGCGTATTTGCGGATCCGAAGTGAACTTCCCAAAAGTCTTCAACCTGCACAGACCGCAAGCCAGACTCTACCATCCCAAAGCCTTGAGCCCCGAACCACCCAAAGCCAGACTGTCCCCCATCCAGGTGGAAAACCCGAGCCTTCGTCAGATCGAGGTGACTCTTCGTGGACCGCCGCGACCTCAGAACTGGGCACAAAAATGCCGTGGATCACTTTTGGGCAAAGTGATCGTCAAAGGGACGAGTTAAGTTAACAGTTGTACGGTCTAGAACCTTTAAGGCATGACTTTGCTGTGCCTTGCAGGCTGAGCTACTCCTGTGTCATGGCCTCAGGTGGCCATCAAGTCTCAGGGTTTGGGATGGTTTTGGAGGTCTGTTATTTCAATAATGATAATTATTAGCAGGGTCTGATGTGATTGACGTCTACGCCCATGCCACACCCTTTACCATCCCGAAACCGCAAAATCGGAGATGTCGCAATGTAGCTCAATCCTGCTTGACATGCTCTGTGAGCCGTCGTCGCGTGAGCGGGCACGAGGCTGGATCATCGGGTTGTCTAGGGTTGAGCACTTCAGGTAAGGGGCGCTCGGGGAGGAGGGCAGGGGCCCTGAGACCTGGCCCAGGTGGCAGTTGGCAATCCGGCGGAGGTCTGGATCATCGGGGCCTCAGCAGGCGCAACGGGCTTTGGAGAGGGATTGGAAGTTGGACTTGCGGGACTACCAAATCCACTCTTCGAGAGAGCTGCCTTGGCAAGACGGCTCACTGTAGGCAGTTTTCGGCTGAGAAGTGTAACTTGTGCTTGTTTCGGGAGGAGGGTGGCAGGAGTTCAGGGCACCTGGCTGAAAACAATGGATATTGTCATGGAGATGTTGCAACAGCTGCTCCTGTTTCTCTGTTGACGCCACATCGAAGTTCCCACTCACGCTTCTTCTCTTCTTTGCAGGCGTTGCGAGTGCCTCGCTTGCCTGCGCTGCTGGTGGATCCGTTGCGCGCAGCTGAGAGGACAAGAGCACGCCGACCAGCGACATCTGTCCTTCTTGGGAGCAATTTTTGCGAATCTCCTGCGTTGATCGGTATCCAGGTTTATTCCGTTGCAGCCGATCGCTCGATGGAGGAGGCATGGCTGGCCCTGCATTTGGGGCTTACTGCAAAGCCATTTTGTCTGCTTAGCTTGAGATAATCGGGAGTAAGAAACGCACCACCCTGCCCAGCGGTTCCTTTGGCAGGCGAAAAGCGGCTCCAAAGAGGCCCGGCTTGGTGCAGACTTCCACCTTCCCGGGGCCTGTGAGGAGGTTTACTCCCTTGAAAACTGCCCCCATCACACAACATCCCAAACGCTCCGAAAGCGTCCCTATGCCTTGGAAGTCCAAGTTGTCACAGAAGGGTGCAGAGGTGACGTATGGTGACGTGCAGAATCTGCAACTGTAGAAGCTTTTGTCAAGTCCTGCAGCCAAAACAAGGCCTGCGGACAAAACATGGAAGAGTGCCAAGAGATCTTGGCCCGAATTGTGAAGGCTGGGACTGCAGAAGCCGACCGCAGGGCCAGAGGGTGTTGGCGTTTGAGGTTGGGCCCGCATGGGCCACGAAATCAGCAACCCTCAGACAACCCTGGCCCCTTTTGCGTCGAAGAGAGGCTGACGGAGGGCGGACAGCAAGGACAGCTGTCCTCAGGGCGATTGCATGGAGCCCAGCATTGCTTTGGTTCCGGTGCGCTTGGTTCAGGGCCCTTTTGGGCCTCTTGTGGTCTCTTGGGCTTCTGTTGGAGGTCATGTTATGCCTGTTGCTGTGGAGGGGGTAGGAAGACTCACGGAACAAAGTGAAACCTCCACACCTGTGGCGCCTGCGTACCAAAGCAGAGAGAGTGCGTGTGGGTGTGCAAAAGAAGAACTAAGAAGAAGAAACCTAAGCAGTGCTACTGTAGGCGGGTGGCAAGAAATGCCGAAGCCCGCGGCCAGGAAGGGTTCTTGACGAGTGCCCCTCGTCGTTTGCCCAACCTGTGGAAGCAGAAATGAAATCTTTCATTGAGGTCTCGTCTTTTCGGATGTCCTGTCAGATCAGCTGGTGAGCTTGGGATGTCGCCCTGTAGTTTTGCTGCTGCTGGCAAGTTGGTCTCGATGTGCTTGTTCACAGTGTTGCCACCCACGAGCCAGGCATGCGGGCCACCCCTGAGAAGGATGGATAGAGTGTACCAGTGTATTTATGAAATACATACATCATACATACACACACACAAATATAGATATATATGTATATATATATATATAAATGTATACATATATATATATATATTTACAAATATTGAAACAAACATAAGAATGTAACAATACTATAACTTAAACCATGTATTCATAAAGAAGAGGAGAGGGAGAAGGCGAGGGAAGGGTGACATCGCCGCGCCATTTCTTCCAGGCCAGGCCCCCAAGCGCCCAAGCTCCCCAAAGCCCTCTGCAGAGGGATCCCTGTGGTCGAAGGAGGCAACTCTGGAGCCCAGAAGTAAAAAAAGAAGAAATAAGAGAAAGGCCGGCCTCCGCAACGTGTCCATGCAAAAAGGGTCGTGGAGGGCTTTGGCGAGTTGAGTCTGTTTGGGCTTCTCAAAAGGAACAGAGAGACACACACCCCCCAAGATGCCCTCAAAACAACAGCCTTCACCATGAGCCATGGATCGCCTGACCATGGCCTGGAGCGGAGTGTGCGGGCGGCCCTCCAGTCCAAGGGCTGGTCCCTGGCGGTGGCCAGGGCAGAGGATTAGAGGATTGAGAGGGATGCTGAGGGTTTTTGTTGGGCTCTTGGAGAGTTGAGGTTGCTGGTTCAGGAGTGTGCAAAGCATGTTCTGGTCGTTCTGGGGTTAGCCAAATCTTGCGTGCTGTGGTTTGGAGCATAAGGCATGAGGGTGGGTTCGGCAGCAATGGCCCCTTCAAAGCAGACGTCAGAATCTCGTGGAGAGGGTTTGGTTTCCTAACAAACGGCTAGCGGCGAAGGTGAACTTCCGGATGTGAATGCTCTTGGGCTCAGGTCTCCCTTCTCCACAGCGCCTGGGAGGCAAGGAGCCCGCCGAATGTGGCCACCTGCAGCCGGCTGGTCAGCACACTCATCAAGGAACGAAGGCCAGGGTTTGGGGCTGCTTGTGCATTTGGAGTCTTGGGCGGTGGTTTGAAACAAAAGGAATGTTTAGTCTTTTGGAGCGCAGAGAGGACGGAGAAGTCATGCCTTGAAAGAAAGAAACAAACAACCAGAGGGCCTCGGCAGTAGTCCGAGCTGGGGCCGAGATAGGAGTTGTCAGCAGCACCGATACGGACTGTTTGCACTTTGTACCTTGCAGCTATGCCTTCTGCCCTCCATGTTTCCCAGGTGGCAAGACAGCCTCAGCCTGTGGGCAGACGCAGAAACAGATTGCAGATTGCCACTTGACGTGGCTGCTTGCAGCCAGCTGGTTACTGCCTGCTCGAAAGCCGAGCAGTGGCAGCAGGCACTGGCCATCTTTGCGGGCGCTCAGTGTAGCTCGATGAAGATGGACGAGATGGCCTACTGCGCAAGCATCTCCGCGATGGAGAAGGGTTCGCTGTGGCAGTCGGCCGTTTGCATGCTGGAGCACATGGAGGTTGCACGCCTGGAGTTGAGTGTGTTCTCTTATAGCGCCGCCATCAGTGCGGGGCGAGCGCAGGGCTGCTGGCAGCAAGCGCTCCAGCTGATCCAAAGCATGGCAGTGAAGGGCATTCTGCCCAACACTGTCGCCCTAAATGCAGGGATAGCGAGCTGCGAGCGAGCTGGCAAGTGGATGCCTGCACTGTCCCTCTTCGAGCAGATGCTAGCTTCCAATCTCAGCCCTTCTGTGGTGACACTAGGTTCGGTTGTGGCAGCTTGCGGCCGCGGTCAGCAGCTCACAGCTGCCCTGGCCGTGTGGGAGGTTTGCCGCTCATTGGGGGTTCGGCCAAGCCAAGAGGCGTGGTCTGCCTTGGTGACGGCCTGTGAGCGGTGTGGAGCTTGGCAGATGGCCATTGCTAACATGGAGCAGGCAGGCATGAGTGGCTTCAAGAGCGGCTTCATATTGAGCAGTGCTGCGAGCTCTTGCACTGACGCGCAGGAGTGGGAACGCGCATTAATCCTGTTAAGTCGCCAGGAAGTGTTTCGCGATCCCATCCTGTTTGGCTCCCTGGTCGCTGCATGGGAGGCGGGTTCTCAATGGGAGCGTGCTTTGCATGCCCTGGTTGAGATGGAGGAGAAGAAACAACTACCCAATGCCATCGCACGGACCTCAGCGATAGGGGCTTGTGAGAGGGCAGCACAATGGGAGAAGGCCATTGCGATCCTTCAGAGTTTCCACCGCGACATGGTCCGCGCTGATGTGGTGGCTTTTGGTGCTGTCATGAGCGCCTGCGAAAAGGCACGGAGGTGGGACATGGCCCTCGACCTTCTGGCTGAAATGCAGAGTGCGAACATGGAGCTCAACACCATCGTCTACAACTCGGCCATCAGTGCCTGTGGTACCGGCCGGGAGGTGGGCCTGGCCTTCCTCCTCCTCGAGGAGATGCTCTCTGGGCGTGTCTGGCCGGATACGGTCACGTGCAGCGCAGTGGTCTCTGCCTGTGAGAAGGCGCGCGAGTGGCAGCGGGCGTTGTCCATTTTGCAGAGCATGCGCGATATCGACATCCGGCCCAACGTTGTGACGTACAGCGCAGCAATCAGTGCGTGCGAAAAGGGGCTGAGCTGGAGACATGCTGTCATGCTTCTCGCACAGATGCACGCAGAATCCCTCGATGCCAACGAGTTCGCATTCAGCGGCGCGATCAGCGCCTGCGAAAAGTGCAATTGCTGGGAGATTGCAGTACAACTTTTCTCGGAGGCAAGCTACACCTTCAAAGAGCCATCCATTTGGGTGCATAATGCCATCGCCAGTGCTCTTGAGAAGGGCGGCCAGTTGGAGAAGTTGCTCTTACTCCTGGAAGGCTGGCTTGAGAAGCAGCAGACTGGGTTCATGGATGTTTGCGGTAAACTTAAACGTTAAACTAGGGGTTGCAGAGGTCTGTCAGCATCTTCACAACCAATGTCCATCTCTGACGAACGACGAACTGATATGACCCAACAGCACTTGTGCCAGGCATGTGGCGGGCTGGCCCCCGGCCAGACATCGTCACTTTGCTGATTGTTTGCTGCACATGGAGAGCCAAAGCCCCGATCCCTTCCCGCTCACTCTGGATTCCTGAAACCCCAAATTTTCGTCCCAGGTATACAAGCGGCCCTGAAACCTTTTTCTTTTTGAGGGCATGCGGGCGGTTTGGTGTTCGGGCGCTCGAGCTGACCATGCAGTGTGGCTTGTGTCTTTGGGCTAGGTCACCTACAACGCAGCTCTGGCCGCCTGCCGCCGAGCCTGGAATTGGGACGCTTGTTGGAGTTAGCCGAGTGGCCTTCGCAGGGTTCTTCTGCTGAGCTGCTGTAGTCCAGAGAAAGCCGTGCCCAAAGTGCCTGTGATTCATTCGTTTGCCCCTCTCCTGAAGCCGACGCTACAGACCTCCCGCCCCAAATGCAACACGGCCCGACCGAGCCTCTCTGAGCCATCTCTTTGAGCCCTGAAGACCACCAGGAGGTGGCATTGGGCCTGTTGGGCTCGGCCTGCGCCAGCGGCGAGGCCGGACGTGCCAAAAGACGGTGTCACTTTGACACTTTAAGAGGCTGTAGTCTTAGTGGGAATCGGCAGGTTGGGGGATTATTTCTGGTGTACTTGACACTTGGGTGGCTTTGGCATCCGTCCTCTCCCGGCCAAACCATCTCGAGCCCTGAGAACTAACGTCAAGCAAACCAGAGGAAGACGGCGGAGGGCTCCTGGAAAATAGTGTAGCGCTGGTCTCCAAAACCCTGGTCTGCTTTGTACCTTAGGTCGCAAGCCTGGACGCCAACCGTAAATCTTCCCATTCCCATCCCAAGTCCCCCTTTCATCATAAAAACTTCACAGGGCCACGAGAAATCCTGGATCTCACACAAGCCTCCGCGCTAGGCCGATGCCATTGCGCTAGAGGCTGCCGTGGTGGCCTGCGACCGTGCCACTCCAAGTCGTTCAGTGCCAGTGCCATCACCTCCTCTTTTCGCAGCGTTTGACAGTTTACAACCCCCTGGCCCTGGCCGACGTGGCATCATGACCGTCAGAACGCGAGGAGAATGCAGAATGCATCTTCCCCAACATGACATTCGAAAATACCCCGGGTCTCATGGATGGGCAATTTCAGTGCCGAAGAAGGGTTTTGTGCAAAACACGACATAAACGAAACAGCGGATTCTGAAGAAGGTAGGCTTAAGCGGAGTGAGACTCACTCAAAGCCTTCAACTCCAAGGCAGTGGGCAGCTGCATCTGCTTCCTGGCTTCCAGGCATCAAAAGCCGATCCCCACAGCCCTGAATCACAAGTGCCACGGACTCAAAATCCTTTGCGCTCAAACTCAGGGTTCAGGCCTGCGTTCCAGCAGGGTTTGCAGCCTGTCTGGGATCAAACTCAAACGTGCCAGGGGTATACTGACGCTCTGGGCGGTCTGGGTGTGGGATGAACAGCACTGCTTTGGCTATCCCAACCTTTCTGTACAAGTGAAGTGATCTGCAGGCAAAGATGATGCAGCTTTCCACGGGCGACCTGCAGCCAGACCGGGTAAAAAAAGGGGGGTTGCACTTCGGGCAGCTGAATTGAAAACGAGACCCCCCAAACACAACACAGTGGGGTTGATCGAGGAACTTTCTCTGCCAAGCCTTGAAATTCGCTCGAAGCCCAATCCCCGCAAACCACCGCCGTAACCCCACAAAGTCCCGAACTCTAAACTGACTTCGAGCCGCCTGGCTTGTAGGAGCGTGAGCGATTAAGCTGATTAAGCGGATTAAACGTGATTGAACCACCTTAAAAGCATGAATCGAACAAGCTCCTGAGGTGCCCCAGATTCGATTCCTCGTTGGCAAGGAGCTGGGAACCGGCAGCTCGCCACGGTCCATGTTTTGGGATCCTTGAGAATTGAGCGAGGGCTTAAGCAGGCTTGTGAGCTTGGGGCTTTGGGGTTTTGGGATCCGGGGATTATACCGTAATGTCAACACAGAGGAACAGCCACCGCCCCAACACAGCCGCAGCCGCCACCGTGCCGTGCACCACCAACCCACACAAGGGTCAGACCTTAAAATATGCCAGGATCGTAAGATCGCATGGCGTAGAACGACTTGAAGTATAAAAGTTGAAAGGGTTGCTCTTGAGACGGTGAGTCTTGCAATTTTCGTCGTGAAGTTGAACCGTTCCACCTTGCCCGCCTTGCCCCGCCCATGGTTAGGCCGGAGCTGAACAGAGTTTGTCCGAGTTAGGAGTTTAGGATTCCGGACGCGTAAGGTCCCACAACGAGTGTACACAAAGACGCTCGAGTTCACTTTTTCCACATCTCAATCCCAGCAGACTTACTGCATGTGCCGAGATGCGGGAAGCCGGCTCCAGCGTGTGGAGGTGCTGACGGGGGTTGTTTGAAGAATGCTGTTCGGTGCTAGGGCTTCAAAAAGCACAGAAGCTTCGCAGGCGAAAGTGCTGCGAGTTTTCAACTTATGCAGCCGCAGACTTCGGCAGGCCATGCTGCAGCGGATTGGGCGCGGGGAGGTCTTCCGAAGTGAGGAGAAGGCAGATGGGCGATTCAACGGCATGCGCCAGACATCGTTCTGCATGAGTATGCGCAGGCAACGGTCAAAGTAGTTTGCCACGCAAAACCAGGGTACCCCTTCATGAAGGCTCAATGTGCTTGCCAGGAAGGCCAGCGACGAGCTTCCGGCTATATCGCAGGCCGGTTCCCTAAACACTCCCATGTTGTCCAGCATGGGTGCTAGAATTTCCGTCGTGCAGACGGAGGTTGGAGGGCAAGCCACCTTTAGCCTTGAGCGAGAGCAGTATACAAAGGTCTGATTCTAAGCAAGTTTTCAGGAACCAGGGCCCATCCAAACCCCATCAAAAACTTCTCCTCAAGGCCATCCAGGCCATCCAAACCCCACAGCAGGAGAGGGCAAAAGCTTGAAACGCAGCCCAAATCAAACGACCCCAAATCATCAAGAGCCCGAACGGTTTTTTACAGTAAGCCAGCCCCTCGCCGTGCACTCCTTGTTCCGGGATGCTCAAAGGGAGCGGACGAGTTGCTTACCCTAAACCCCCAAGAATGCAGAGTGCCAAGAGGCACTCGTCTCCAGGAGGCCTACGTCCGATAGCAAACCCCAACTTCCGAGTTTCCCCGAATGTGCATGGACCACGCCAAAATGGTAACCCCAAGGGCTTCATGGCAAAAAAAACAAATATAAAAAAAAATATATATATACATATATATATATATAATGTATATACATCTGTACACACACACACACATATATATATATATATGTATAGCTTCTCAGAGCTGTCCGGACTGTAGGATTGGAGCCGTGCAGTGCGCCAGGCGCTGAGTTGGGACCAGTCGTGCAAAGTTTGGGAGTTCACCTCGTGCGTCCGCTTGCGGAGGGGGTTTGGGGCTTGTCCGTTAGGGGCCGCGTGCTGAACTTCGGATGCTTATGCTTGTGATCTCGTGCGCAAGGCCCTCTGCCAGGCACCAGCAACACTGTCTCGAAGCCTCTGCCTCTGAGGTTTCATGATCCTCTGACTCTAGCATGGACATCTGAGTTGCGCCGGCCTCAAGGGCAGAGGAATCTCCTGAGGAGGTTTCGGTTGGCCTTTGCAAGGCTGAGGTCTGCTTTCATTTGAATCGGAGACAATTCGGACTATAGAAGGTGCCTAAATTCCTTACTCAATCCCGCTAAAGAGGAGTTGTTTGCCAGGCAAGGGCATTGGAAGGAGATCCAAAGTGAACTCCGATCGAGACTTGGTGACGAAACGGCAGCGCGCCCGGTCTGACTCCAGACAGAAGTTGCCTGTCAGTGGGTTTTCACTCCTTGCTATCTTCCGCTGCCGGAGTTCCTCAATATTTGGTGAGGTGTGGTTGCCGGGTGTTTACGCGGCCGGTCGCACAGCCTGGCAAGGTTCTGTATAGGAGATGGAGTGGCTGGAGCGGGACCGCATGAGATGTTTGAATTTCAAGGGAATTCTTTCTATCCTAAGTATGCCAGCAGCAAAGCGCAGCAGAGAGGAGGGCATGGCCACTGAGTGCCCAGGTTTTTTTTTGTCACCCCGAGGCGCAAAACAAGCGCTACGCCCCGGAATGGAAAGTTGCAGCTGTGCTGGCTGCGGACGGCTGGGAGGACTTAGCTCAGCATGCTGCATACTGCCATAAGGGCGCTAAGTTCGTGTCGAGACATCAGCAAGCAGCACCCTTCCTGTAGGCACACAAACCCAAAGGAATGAAACTTCGACCGTGAGGGAAGCATCGGCATGATGATGATTGCAGCGTAGCAACATGGCGTGCCTTCATGACGATTGTGTGCGCGCATCTTCCTGGATGTGGAGGACAAAGGTAGCTTCCCAAAGACGCAGGCGATACTCAAGAGGTGGCTTTTGCTGTTGGTTGTGGGTGTATTGCAAATTGCAATGCTCCAGTGGCAGGATATTCATGCATAGGACTGTGATCGCACGTGGCCACAGCTTGAAAACCTTCTACCGCGATTGCAGGTAGAATTGCTTTCATGGTCGTCGGTTGGAATCTAGAACAGAACCTAGCTAGGTCTCTGATAGACGTCTGCCTTGAGAGCGATTGTTTGAGACGTAGAGTCGGGAGCAAAGCACTCAGACCGGCAGCTCCTTGGCTCTAGAGACAGGGCCGAGGGCAAACCCCTGAAGGCCCCGGCAGCTTTGAAAAAGGGGCTTTTCGTGGCTTTTCGTGGCTTCGCGTGGTTGTGCGAGGCTTTGAGACTGGGCATCGAGTGATATATCGGGTGAAAGCTGTGTACTTTTGTTTCTTGTTGGCTATCAGCCCTCGAGAGGTCATGGCAGAGCTCCCCCCTCGACCAGAGTCGGGAGGGGAGCAAGATGGGCCGCTATGGCTTGCCATCAAGTCAGGGCCACAGGGTGTCAGGGCGTGTTCGGGTGTGGGTCGAGTTTTGGGCTTGGGGCATTTCAGGCTTTAGGCCAAAAGGCCGAACAGCTTCATACAGCAGAGTGTACTGTTACACAGTATGAGCAGCACAGAGCTGTGCGACTCCATGCTAAGTCTTGTAAAGCCCCTACGCTGACATTGCCAACCCTGCAACCCCCAAAAACCCCAAAAAACCGCGCTCCGATCACCGAGGCGTCAACTCTATAAACCGGAGGTGACGCTCGTCAAGCGTTTAGTTGGCCACCAGCTGATCCAGCAGAACAAGCCATGCCCTTACGGAGCCGTGTGGCAACCCTTTGTCGCGCTTGCTACACCCAGTTAAAAACTGTTCCAAACCCCTCCTCGAGTGGCAGGTTGATGTGGGACGAAATCTGGTCCCTGCGACATATGCTGGACGAGTTTCGCAATCGGAGCCCCACCTTGGTACGCAGTGTGTTTCGGGGCCTTGCGGCGAATTGGGGCTTGGGGTTCGTTTGGGGTTTGGGGTATGACATACGGATCGAAGCTTGTACCATGCCCTGCACTGGACCATAAGCTGGCCTTGCCAAGCCCGATGCCCCCCTAGCCCGAGTATGTCCTGAACTCCAAACCCCGTTGCATTCTGTAATTCTGCACTGAACAGTTTGCAGGAACAACGAGCTCTCCGAAGGGAGACGGCAGCAGGCCGATTTTTGCGACACGCAGCGCCTAGTACACGTTTCAGAAGTTTCGTTTTTGTGCAGCTATGCAAGTTGGTCGTTCAACAAAACCTCGGGCACAACTCAGGCACCGGGACCTCTTGAGACGGCAGGCGCAGATGATTCTGGAAGACCTCCGCACTCAGGCGAATGCTTGCGGGCACGCGGTCGAGGTCGGGTGGACCGAACGCCCTGAAGCTCAATTGCCGGCTCAAGCCCATAAGATCCTGCAAGCTAACCACCTTCAAAAGGCTCATCAAAGCGCCCCGTACAGAATCCCCCAACATCCCCCAACATCCCTCAATCCTCAACTGCCCTGGAGTTTCCCCCTTAGGACATGGTCCCCGAGCTGCGGAATGCCCAGCTACGGAGCTTCGTCCTGGAGGACCCTGGCTTTCTAGCAGATGGCAGCAGCCATGCAAGCCGGCGGAAGCCTTTGTACATCTTCCAGCAGTTACTCAAATCGCAAAAAAAGTCTTCAAAACCAGCACAAGCTAACCTTGATCGTGCTGCCTGCTTCGGAAGCAGCAAAGAGTAACAAAGATAACAAATGCAGTTGCGACGGCCGTGATGGACGATGCTGAACACTTCTTAAAACCTTCACCTCCACAAGATTTGGCCTCAAGATGCACAGGCCCTGCAAAGGGTAGCGACCTAAGATTCACGAATGGATGGCAAATACGCAGTGCCTGCCTTCCTCGATGTGAAATCGAAGGATGGAAATCTCAATCTAATCTTATGCGTTGTGAGCTCTGCGGTTGCCGGAGTTGGAAGCGGATTGTTCGGATGTTTGCTGTCAGCAGCTGACCACATTAAGCGGCGAAACGGCGGGATACACACCACTCGCAGCCGGCTCTACTCCTGGATTGGGATGGTTGGCTCAGTGGTCTTTGGCTTGGCTTCGCTGGTGGGGCTTGTTTTTGGCTCAGTCAGCCTGGCCACCGTCGTTCGGGCTGGGTCGACGCTGCCGGCCAATGCCGTCTTCAGTCAGATGTTTGGCTTGCGGCCACTGGTGCGGGATGACGTGCTGGGCACCTTGGTAACCATATCGGGCATCGTTAGCTTCACCATCTTCCAAGGCTGGTCGGAGTATCATCACGATCAGAGCGAGTTCCTGCAGCGGATTTTTGCAGCTTACTCCATTGTGTGGATGAGTATCTTGTTCATGCTACAAGCTGCCTCGAGCTGCTGGCTGTATGTTCACAGGAGTGCAAAGCGCGACCGCCGAGAGTATGCAGCCGTAGCCCGATGCCGGGCCGTGGCGGCCACACTGATCTGTGCGTGCTCGTCTGCCTTCATGGACCTTGCAGCCAAGGGTTGGTCGTCTTCTTCCAGGGTCTCAGATGGCGGTGGAGGCTTATCATCGCCCACATTCTGGACAGCGCTCGCCTTGAACGTCCTGTTCCTCATCCTCATGCGTTGGTCAACCATCTACGGCTGCCGACGATGTGATGTGCTGATCTTCGTGCCACTGAACACAACAGCAAACATCATCCTCAGCGTTGCCTCGGGCATGATCTGCCTCTCAGAGTACAAGTCAGTCAAGTCTTGGCCTGGACTCTGCACTGCTGGACTTTCCATGCTGTGTGGCATCTTCATGCTCGTCACCGGTCCTGCCGAGACGATGGTTGGGGCCGGCATGTCTTGCAACAGCTGGATGGAGCCAGAAGAGCCTAAGGCTCAATCCAGGGAGATGCAGACACGGCGGCCGTTCAGTCCCATTCAACTCTCGGCAGCACCCTCTCCGAGCTCTCAAGACAGAGTCGTCCCCAGGGAAAGATCGGTGCTGGAGGAGTCGGAGGAGGACTTGCACTCAAAGTCCTCCGCGTTGGGCTTTGTTTACCTGAATCGGATCCACCGAAGAGCTGCACGAACGCGAAGCGAGATTGGCAACTGCTTGGCAGAGAACCTCGCGGACCGACGGGAGCCAGTTGGATCAGTTGGATCAAACCATCTGCCAACGGAAAGGGTGGCTGCGGGAACGCACGCTGCCCAGGCCGAAGCACAATCGGAGGTTTGATGCGAGTTCGAACCTGAGCTCTTTGGTTGCCTGTGAAAGCTGGTGCACTTAGATGTAGGCTTACAAGAAGCCGCGCTTAGCGAATTCAGCTGGACCTTGGCAGTTCTAATTTAGGCCAGTTTGCTTGCAGTCGTCCGCCTGAGCACTGTGATCACGTAACGCATCAGTTTAAGGTTGTCCGGACTGTTCCTACTCTCATGCGGCTTCTGCCGGCTGATCCAGCACTTCTCCATTGGACAGTTCAATCGGTCCTCAAAGTAGGATGCAGCAGTAATCTCCTGACAAGTTACAAGCCTGGCAGCTTAGCCCATCCTGTTTTTCGTGGTTGGCCACATTGAGCTGCCAGAAAGAGGCCAGCAGGGCATCCCAATCCTTCAACTTGCACGCCTCAAGATGCAACATCACCGCATTCATATACCACTGCTCCGGGATGCTCTGGGAACAGGTGTGGGCGGTTTCGCAGTTTAATGGCCGATGTGCCTCATCGTGGGAAGTAGAGAAGCTGGAAGGCATGATCCACATGTTTGCTGATTCTGTGTATTTTCGTTCCAACTGCCAACTGCCAAGTGACTGCGCCACGCTGCGCAACACGCACTTGACGGTTCCAAGTTCCCACCGCGGTGAGCCAAACATCGCAACGTGGCAATCTGCCGCTCCCTGAACCTAGCGCACAACGGGGAGTGACAGCGCCGGAGGCAGGCAATGACTTTTTGATGCACGAACCGCTCAGGGGCCACAAGCCGTCCAAAAACTTGCTGAACCCAAGATCTCTTGAGCTCAGAAAGGCTTCTGAGGTCCGAGCAAGAGACCGCTCAGATTGTTCTCAGGGCAGCTGAAAGGCGGACTCAATTCAAGCGTGCCTGCTGAGCCCCACCAAGATGCAGGCCCCAGCTTGTGTTGCTTGTGTTGATCTCAATTCAAGACAAAACATCGAATTGCAACAACCATCTCCTAGCTGCCGCGCTGTTGTGTCTGGAGCGCTTCCTCCATGTTCAATCCTTCAGTCCTGCCATATCCTGCACCTTAAGGAACTCTGGGAATCGTTAGCTGTCGAGACAGCTTTCATCATGTAAAGAACAGCAGCTTCAAGTCCAGGCCAGAAAGAATACCATTGTGAGCTTCCATACCTTTGCCTTCAACAAACCAAGATTATCTAGACGGTTAAGTCTCGGCCAGGCTAAAAATTGAACCTTTATTGAGCCTTCGCAAGGCTGAAGACAAAAACCTATGAGCCTGAATCCGAACAAAAAACAAACCTTATCAGAATCAGTCTGAGCAGAGAGAAGTCACGCGAGTCTCCCTGTGAGTTGAGATCGTGCACGTGAAGGTTGCTGTGGGTCCCCCCTTTGAATTGCGATCGCGCACATGAAGGTTGCTGCATATGGGTAGTCTGGCTCACTGTTGTTGTCTAGTACAATGTAGTTATTGAACATCCACCTGAGTGTGGATACCGAAACTCAAGCGATCCCAAGATCTTGCAGACTCGAAGCCCCCTTCGAAGCGAGTCGCACAAAGCAAGGAGGCTGGCTACGGTGGCTATGGCAAGGCGCCGCTCCTGGCAACAAAAGGTAGATCATGCTTAGATTAGATGTTAAGAGGCCATGGGAAGTCCCAGTCATGAGGATCCCTATCTTTGATGAAGACTCAAGCCTGCATGGGTCGCGAGGTGCAGGAGGGCGGGCCACCCGCTACACCCTCGACAAGGCCTTCCACCGCCAGCACGCGGCCAGGTCCAATTCGGTATCCCTTCTTTTACCTTATGATGCGTGGGCAAAGGCCTGAAAAGCAATGCAACAAATGACCAAGGCGTATTTCCTGCAGCACACCTGACCTCCTCCACAACCTGGCGATGCTTCCCTCGCTGCCTATGGGCCAGCCACTAGGGCTGGACGATATTGACGAGGTGGCAGCAGGGATTCGAGAGAGCTTGCAGGCCGAGCACCAATGGTTGTTGGCCACAATCGCGGAGGAGTACCAGCAGCTGGAGTTGGAGGACCAACGCCGCGCGCACCTCGCACGCTCCGACGCTGAGCCCTCCACGGCGCAGCTGAAGCGATTCCTCGGCTGCCTGCAGGACGTACAGGCCTCGCCCAGCCTTAAGGCACTGGCGATCAGCAGTAGCCTCAGCAGCCTCGGTTCCGGGAACGGTTCCGGGAACGGTTCCGGAGAGCCTGCCCCGGTGGCACCGGTCGTTGGCGGCGCCAGCGTGCGGCGCCTGCAGGCCCTGATCAGCCTGCGGCGGCAGAACGCCTCCCTCGCCACCCTGAAGTCCCTTCAGCCCGTGCAGGAGGCCGAAGATGCCAAACCGGCACCGGCATTCTTGCCTGGGATCACATTGAGCCTCGGGCCCGACAAGCAGGAGTTCGACCCGTTCTTTGGCGACCCGGTATAAGAGGGCTATTCTCTCCCTCCTTTCCTCTTTCTCGCCATGCATCTCTAGGATGCAAGGCGTTGCTAGAGAGCATTGTGATAGTGTGATGTGGGAGACGCTCATGGCCCACCAGCATGTTGCCCCACGGCTCCCGTAGAGAATTTAAGCTTTGACCAAGAGGATGTGCACACAACGGAGGCAAACAGAAAGCGCAGGTGTGACATTAGACACAGGCACTTGTCAGAGAGTTTGTACATGGGCATCCAATGGTCCCGCGGCGAATCCGTGAATGGCACGAAGTGCCGTGTATAGATGGCCTCGATAAACGGATTGCTGTAAGCGTTTCACCCACTGCTTGGACTGCCCCGAGGCGAAGGTGGAGTGTCAAGGAGGAATAAAGGATTGGCATTGGCATCCTCTAAAACATGGAGTGCATACTCAACTGCTCGACCGAGAGCGAGGCCACAGTCGGCCTGTCTTGCAGGTTGGAAGGTCTACTTCCGTTTGAAGTTTTCTTTGCTCACATGCCGCCCTGGCTAAGTTTGAGCGTGCTTGTGATGTGCAACGCTTCTCGACTTGTAGGCCAGTTGCAACACTCGTGCAAGGCTTCCCTTTGCATTCAACAGCAGATTTGGGTCAGGAATGGGTCTTCGGCGGTTCAAATCAGGGCTTGAGGGAAAGATGGCATAGCAAGAGATAAGAGGGTATAGCAAGGCATAGCGAGGCAAAATGCTGAAGCTTGGCAACGTGAAGTTGCCACGAGGTCCTCCGAACTCCCTGAGTGCCAGGCCACCACGCACAAAGATTTCGTCCCACTCGGACAATCTGAACTACGTCGTGGGCTCAAGCTGCAGTAAGCCTCGGGAAATAGGGCCCAGGTTTGGATGATGCGTCGATCTTGCCTAGCATCCTCTTACCAAGCAGCTGTTTTGCCAATCCGACTTCGGAGTCAGCATCTACAGTACTGGGAATCTACCACATCTCCTTGCTAGGAATGCTACGGAATTGGTACAGTCATCGGTCTTTCTTCCACAGGTTTGACTTGAATTGCCTTGATGAAAGAAGCTATGGGGCATTGGATTCCCAAACAGCCATCCAGTCCAAAAGCCTTCAGATCAGGCTTAAGAAGTTCAAGTACATCACAGATCCCAAAGGCTCTTACAGCTCTGGTGGTTTATCACTCATCCATCTAGCTGCCGTCCTGTCTGAGATCCTTACCTTGCACCTGGCTTTGCAGCCTGTCCCTCAGAGGTTTCACCTTTGGCATTGCCAGGAGGGAGTTGAAAGGGGCGGGAATGTTGAGGCTTCAAAGGGGCGTTCCAAACCTTCGCAACCCACCAGCCAATCGGCTCCTAAGACTTCGGGTCTCCTTGAAAGATGTTTGTTTGGAGACATCTGCTTGCCCCAGTCGCCTCCCCTTAACCTAGACCTTTAGAAGCCGCAAGCCCCAACAAAAAGCCCTTCCGACGCACTCGCCCCTGCCCAGGTTGGAGTCTTCTGCTTGCTCTTTGCAAGTAGGCGGAGCCGCATGTGCTTTGAAGGGTGCCGAATTTAGGTATGATGGCGCTGCGGGGTTTAAGCCCTTATAGGAAGACAGCTCTTGCGGTTTCTGCTTTGCACTGCTGTCAGGTCGGCGGACGCAACAATGGGAGGAAGGGGAGGCCATGTGCTGAGAGCCGATCCTCGCATGGAGCCACCTTTGTAAGAACCGTCCATGCAAGTCCACCCATGCTGCTTCCTTCCCTTCCAGCCAAAGCATGCCAAATCCGGAGCCCGATTCGAGGTTCTTGTGTTTGACACGACCTTCACCCACTCGGCACAGAGCTCGACTTCGCGCATTTCGCGCATTTCTTCGGGTCTTCGGGCTTGAGAAGCACAGTTGTTGTCCTCAGCTGCAGGCCAGCAATGATTCCGACCGCGACCGCTATGTGTTGGCAGCCTCCTCGTACGTTCGTGCACGGTGCATGTGTGTGTGAGAGAGATTTTGAGAGAGTGAGTGAGTGAGTGAGTGAGGGTGGGAGGGTGTGTGTGTGTGTGTGTGTGTGTGTGTGTGTGTGTGTGTGTGTGTGTGTGTGTGTGTGTCACTGCTGTACATGCGGGTTCGCATCGTTATCAACAACCTTCGTGCTGCGCTACATTCACCGCATCAGAAGCTGGGGGCAGGAGTTTGCCTGACAACCTCCTCCCAACGAAGACACTCTCAGTGCACAGTGATACGAAGATGGGACGCCATCTTCGTGATATGTTCTTCATATACAACCCTTTTGTGCATTGTGACAATCCTCGCTGTTGTTCAAACACTGGTTGGAACGTCGACAACATGGTTTGCCTCGTTTTCTGGAGATGCATGTTTTGGATCATGTTATTCGTGGATGGCACAGATGCAGCAACTTGTAGCAATGGAGAACCCGTCAAGCAGGAGTGGAACGTCAGGTTGGTAGCGTGCGGAGTATTGAGCGTTAACGTGCGCAGCATCAGGAGCAGGTACGGCAGGCTTGCAGTGAACCGTATCGCTGGCTTCACTAACCGGTGATGAACATAGACCAGTCACGTTGCACGGGTGCAGCATATGTGCGTGCATTCTGAACAATGGCCGATGCAGCAAGCTTATGTGGAACAGCTTCTGCAGTCAGAAAGCATTGTGTCAGTGTCTGTGTTTGTTTGTTGGTCGGTCTGTTTGCGTTGGGCTTCTGAACAGATTAAGTCAGAGTCGCACAGTGCACAGATTTCACAGAGTATGCTCAGCTCGGCTGAGTACAGACCTTTGATTCTGGCTGTGGATGGATGCGGCAGTGTAAAAGTGTCAAAATTTGTAAGGCGTAAAAGTGTACCAGCGCAAAAATGTGTAAAAGTGTGTGTGTGTGTGTGTTGTGGGTACGTGCGTGCAAGCGTGCGTGGGTGCGCGTGTCTGCGCGGGCACGGGCGTGCGTGCTTGCGTGCGTGCGGCAGCGACAGCAGCAGCAGCACTATCAACTGTACCCTCGAAGAGGATCAACCCTGCACATGCACCATCCCCATTCTCTCCCTCATGTCCTTCACTCGAACAAATACATCTTGCTGTTCTGAGGTCGTGCGCTTTTGGCATCCTGGCCTCAGCAGCGAGGAAAAGTGCTTGAATTTCCGACGGTCATCGGTGTTGCAGTATCATGGGCTCATGACTGTGCTTGCGCAAAGGTGTCGTTCCGACGGGTCTTTAGTAAAGTAAGGCTTTGTGATTGTGTGGCAAATTGGGCGAGAGGCTCACTCCAAACGATTGGCGTGAGTCAGCCAGTTTAGGACATCCAGGAGACAAAATCCAAGCCACCAATAAGGGCTCGGGTTTCAAAAACTCGGGTCGTAGCGATGAATAGCTGCACGCAGAAGTGCATTCTCGGCAGGAGCGGAAGGCTCTGCAACTGTCGCACCTGCTACTCTCACGCGTGCTGGGGCCCTACGCTTCTCGCTTTACGGATGATTTCGGGGACTGGTGTGGATGGGGGTGCGGGGAGCTCCTCTCCGTGAAAGGATATCTATTTCAACATAGCGGCCTTGAGAGTCTTGAGAGCCAGCAAGCATCGAAATATGACGTCCCTTCTTGATCGCGCTCCCCCCCCTCCCCCCTCCAAGACAGAAGAGTCCCAGCTGCAAAAGGGTTTGGGGGCTTGGCAGGTTGGCAGCAGATGCCACCAGCGAGCAGGCAGACTGTTCCATAGTTTTTGGCGGAGACATGCCGCAGCAACGCTTGGCGGAGGTTTGCTGATCAGATGGCTGGTCAAAACAGCACAAAGCAACAGCTGTGGGTTCTCAAGCCTTGCAGGCAGAACTTCCCTGGACATAAACTCATGAGCCAGCGGACTCCTGATGTGCATAGTGCTTCCCTAGAGGCATCAGCTTTTGGCCGGTCTCTGCCTGTGTAAATACTGCTTGCATCCAGCAAGCATCTGTGTGACGCTCGCCATGCAGCCCACGGCGTCACGGGAAGACGCGACTTGTCAGTTTCAGCACTGAGCTCTCTGTACTCGCGGACTGTTTCTGCCAAATCCTAGGCGTCTTCCGGAGTCGGGGAGCATTGGACTCACTTGAAACCGTCCTTTCTTGGCTCAACTCGGCGTTCTTTGCCGGGCCAGAGGGGTGGGGGGGAAGGCACCAGCAGCGATGAGGCGTGCCTTCAACGGAGCGCCAGTGTCTCCAGTATTTGGTCAACAGCCCGTCGTCTCAGCATGACCGACTGCAAAAGTGGACAACGCACTTATCCAGAGAGTAAGACAAGGATGCCTTTGCCTCTAACAACTTGTCTATCATATGGTCGAAGTTATAGAGCCGCTGCGACAGCTTGATGTATATGTCTGTATGTGTTTACAGGCACTGACCGACGATATGGCCACAGACTTCATAGAATCTTGCCTCACACATGGCATGTTTGTTTGCCAGCCCTCAACCCAGCGTGCAGGGGTTACATAGCCCTCCCCTCAAGTTTGCACCCCGACGAACAAGCTTCGTTCTGTCCAGATGCTGCCTTGACCCCTTTTTGGAGGATGGGGTCCCGAATCGTGACGCCTTCCGGTCGGCGTTGGAGGAAAGAAGCCAACTGACCCAAAGCAGGCCTCCTAAACAAGCCCTCATGAATCCGGGAAGCTCTGAGGTAGGAGAAGGGAGGTGGAAGAATATGAAAGCAACTTAATATTATGAAAAGCAGTGTAAAACCCCAAGCTCCCACATATCCTCAAGCCGAGGGCTTGCAGCCCGAACCGGAGCTGATAGGGCAGGCAGGGGGTCCCAAATTGAGGCGTTGGGGGCTTGAGGGCCTACTGAGATGTTGGTTTTTTGGCCGTGCCTTATGGCGAGCCTCGCGAGTGATGTACTACCTCACGGTGGAATTTCCCCAGAATCTTCTGTCGTCCAGGCGGCAAGAATCCTTAAAGAGATAAACCCGCGGCCCTCAGATCATGCAGAAGCCCACCCCTAGCCCCCCTTGGATCCTTCTCGTGAGGCCGCCGAGGATCCGCGCCTTCGGGGCGGCCGTGAGATGCCTTCAACCCTTTCCACTTCGGCCAAGCCAGGCACGTGGGATCCAACAGAACAGGGGGTTGAGCAGGATCACTTAAGCCCTGGCAGGGGGGGGGGGGGAAGTGAGGGATTGTACACTCTTCTCATTTCGACCCCGAAGCCTCACAAGCTCAAGCCCCAAGCCTTGAAGCCGAACCAACTCTGGAGGTGGCGAAACAATCAACTCCCTGACCCAAGCCCACCCGCCTTTCAAGTCAGTTGTTGTTTTCTCGGCCTGGTGCCGTGGGCCCATGGGAGGTCGGTTGTCTGCATAAATTTAGACCCTTCAGGTTCTCCAGGGCTTGCAGTTGATGAAGAGTCAGGCGCATGTGTGGGGTCATCCTTGCTGGCAAAAGCAGAGGCGATCGTGGCCAAGATCCTGCCTTGAAGCTTCTTCCTGCATCAGTCTGTTTCAGTCGGCGTTTCAGTTGGGGGCGCGGTTTCGACTTCTGGGTGATGAGGCATATCGACTGGCAGCCAGTAGCAGCCCTCCAAAAAAGGTCGGAAGGCGCAAGAGTTCGTACTGAAGTGGCATCTGATGCATCCATCACGACCTTGGCACCTCCGAATCGAAACTGCAGTCTGGTGGGCAAAACTCCTCAGATTTCTTGGGGTTAGGGAGCGCTCAGGAATGTGCAGGGCTCCGAGCAGGTGGAAGTGCTGAGCATGGAGGTCGGGCAGTCGCACATTTAGGGTTTTTTTGCCTGGACCCGAAGGGGCTGGATATCAGTCACTTGAATTGTCGAGACAGGGGCGTTTTGCAGATTTACTCGGCGCAGGGGCAACTTTGTCAAGAGGTGGTTCCAGGCTTTCGCAGTTTCGCTCAAGAAGCTGCCGGCAAATCCGGGCACCTGGAGAGAGGCCCTTGGTCCAATTCAGACCGCATCCTTGCAGGAGCTCTTCGTGGCTTCTGCCCTGTTCGAAACGGGCTGTGGCGTGATCATCCTTCTCAGAGCCTCGGCCTGCACCACGGAAACTTCGAGGGTGGGCCGCCTGAAGAAACTTTTGATTTTAATTAGACTCGATATGCGATGCACCCACAGCGGCAAAGGTCGGTTCTGAAATGAAGGACTGGGTTCGTCGTTTGAGAATTCCACATGACCCCCGGTCAGCACCTCTGCCGAGGTGTTCTTGCGATCGCCTGGGAAATGGACGATGTCTTCACACCACAGTTCCGTCAGCGTCTCGACCAAGATAGCGTGGTAGGTGCAGCTTGGGACCACTTGGTGCGCACATGTCTGCGGACGTATGCGGAAGTTTTTTGATGGCGCGGTGGCGACCGCGAGCAGAAGCACTTCCCGTAGGCAAAATCACAGACGTTTACTGGACCTGGAGTGTTCGCCGGCAATCTGCCGGCAATTCTGAAGCACATCTGAAAGTCAGGTTTCATTTTTCAAATCGACTTCTTGAACCGAGGTTTTTGGAGAGTGGCGTCACAAGCTTCTTCCTGGTGGAGTGGATCGTCCGGCTGAAGGCTGCGGAGAGCACTAACGCCCCCCGAAAAGCTCCTATGGCGACTGCCCATTCGACGGTTTTGTATGGCGAAGGCTAAACCATCCATGCGCTCCCCCCCACGCGCTCCCCCCCACCGTGCCCCCACCCCCAAAAAATCCCAGCTTAGAGATGCAAGCCACGCTGGGCTGAAGGTCGGCAGAGTTTTGGGATGTTTTGGGAACGTGGACAATAACCTTGCAGGGCAAAGAGCCCTGCTAAACATTAACATCCTTTTCTTGTCCTCCTTTCTCCCTCCTTGACCCTCGAGTTGAGCATAGAAAAAGCTGGCAATCTGCAGGCGAACGGCAAGCAATGGTTGCTGGAGCCGGTCGTCATGTTCGACACCTTCCTGGCCGCGCGTCTGAAGACTCTGGAGAGTTTGAGGTCGTTTTGAAAAATGGCTGGGTTGCTTAGGCTGCCGACTTGAAGGTACAATGCTTTCGATGCGAGTTCAATGGCTGCAGAGTTAAAGTTAAAGCCCCCTGAGTTGTTACGGTGGGGTCAGTCGTGGGACCCGTGGAGTTTCCGCGAGGCCTTGCTAAGGTCGTTCAGAGCCCAGCAGGTCAAGATCTGTTCACTGCCTCGCGGAAGGTGAGAATCCTTACCAGGTATATGTAACAATGTAACCCCTTGACACTGGGCTAATCGAAACCCATTCTTCGGGGTTCACTGTTTCCCAACAACTTTCTCAGGTTTGGGTGCCAGGAGTCTTAGCAGAGACTCGGCGGCACCTTGCAAGCTAGGCCTCGGCCGTAGCAGGCTGCTCGTTGCTGCAACAGTCGTGGGACCCTAAACCCTAAACCCTAAACCCTAAACCCTTGCGGTCGGTGTCGGGTTTGGGGGAACGTGCAGCTCGCTGAGGTGTGGGGTGGTGTGGGGACCTACAGCCCTCAACACGAGGCCCCAAAGTCGCGCGAAAAGGCGTCAGCCATGAAAGGCCATACTTGCAGTAGCTCGAAGAGTATAGAAAAGGAGAGGTGCTTTCAGCAAATCTCCAAGTGGCTGTGTTTGCGTCGCGGCGGGTCAAGAAAGCAAGAAGTCTGGCATGCCCTGCGTGCAGCGGTAGCGACATTGTGGTTGCGATTTTCCACATATGCACGTATGATCCATGCACATCTTTAACCCAGGTGGTCATCACTCTGAAGCCCCAAGAACCGAGGTGTGGATCCTGCAGCCGAGCATCCAGGACGGGGCCACCGACTTCTTAAAGCTGGTGAGAACCATCCGCTCCTCGCCGGGCATCTGGGGGATGTAGCAAAGGATGTCAGATTTCGGTTGAGCTACTTCCCGCCCGACAAGTTGGTGATAGGTGTCTCAGGCGGGCGACTGTAAGCGCGACCACAACACTCAGGCGGACAAAATTAGCTGGAATGCGGCTTCAAAGGTCTGAAAACATCGTGCGACCAGACCTGTATGCCTGGCAGATAGCTCCAGATGTCTCAGTTGCCAAACCTGGGGTATGGTGGGTGGGGGGGTGTACCATACGTCTTCTTTTTTGCTAAGAGTTTGTATAAACGGAAAACATACTGACATAGCGGCCATGGCTCAATGACTCCGCTGTACAGAATCACCACACACTCAACTCCTAAGCCTTGAAATTCATGAGCCTACAACTTGACCTAGCGATAGGAGCACGGCGCGATAGCAGTACCTGCACTTTGAACCCCCCAAAAAAGCAGAAAGCGCCGCTCAGGGATGCTGCGTTTGTTGCGCATCGTGCGGCCTGGCTGAATGCTGTCGGCCGCCCCATGGGTTCAGGATTCACATGGTTTTTCCGAATCGCGATTGGTTCTGGGGATGGGTTGACAACAGGGTTTGACAGGGAGCAGCTCCTCATGAAATGGTTAAGACCCGCCTATTTCCGCCATCGTCTGTCTGGTGAGTCTCGTCTAGCTTGGGTTGCTCCATACCTCACGAACCAATCAATGGCTTCAAGGTGACTCTGGTCGTGTGTCGCCCGCAGGCTTTTCTTCAAACACTTCAAGGCCTTCCAGGACCTCTTCAAGCTTGTACGAGGTCTCTTAAGCGACTCCGCGGCAAGCCTTGCATGTCTGGCCATGTCTGGCACTCCAGCCAACATATTAAGGGCCACGTGGTTTCTATAAATAGGCGCCGACAGAGGGACTGCAATTCAGACCATGATCACCTACGTCTTCTTGCAGCTTTGTGTTGCCTTTGCTTGGTATTTCCGGGTTCTCTGCATCGAGTGGCACTTTTTTGCGGCACCGTGGGCATGTAAGGCAGCGGCAGCACATTGCTGTCGGCCATGGGCTTGATTGCCGGGTGCTTACCGAAAGTTGGTGAGGGAGTGGGGGGGCGTCTTGCTTCATCAGATGCCCAGGCAGCGACACTGTACACGTTTGCAATTTTTGCGATTGACCTGATCGGCAACCAGGACTTCACAGGTGCCTAGGGCTGGGTTGTATGTTTGCAGGAGCACCTCTGCAACATGTTGAGGCTACGCTACTTACCAGACCCGTTGACCTTCACCTTCATTTCGCTGCAGGCGCGGGTGATGACGTCCTGGAGGCGCAGGGAATGTTCCAGGGACTCTTCACCACGATGATTACTCTCATGCGGTGGCACGCTCAGCTCAATGTCACACCTGCGACAGTGCTATTACAGATTTGTAGCTTCCCAGAAGCTGACACTGCAAAGGTTCATGCATGGAGACGACTGTCAAGGCATCCTGGACGTATTGACAACGCCTCAAACTCAGGAGCTATTCAGGCATGTAGGGCATGACCAAACAGCCGGAAATCCTTGTTCTCCTTGACTCTGACTTCGGTAAAGGCGTCAGCCCTGGATATGGGTGTTTCTCTGGCTATTCACATCACTGTGGCTTGGCAGATCAGTGGTTGCTCCTAGCTCCCCACATCTTCAATCATGTCTCGAGACCAATCAAGCACGCAGCACGGCCAGCACCCTTGTCCTTCAATTGGTTTTGACCAAATTTGAAGAGAAGGTCGTCGTATGTCCTGCTGAACTTGGTGACGGCCGTCATTGTGCAGCAGGTGAGGGCGGTGAGGGCATTGCCATGGGCGAGATTGAGGTTGCAACCCATGCTGCAGGTAGATGGGTATAACACATATGCGCACAAGTGCATGTGTACATGTATGTAGAGGTATGTATACGTAAACGCACATATGTATATGATATATATATATATATATATGTACACATGTTGATAGATCCATTGTTGTGTGTGTGTGCTCGCATGCGCGTGTCTCTCACTCTCTCGCTCGCTCTTTTTGTCTTTCTCTGTATGTGTGTGCATATGTATATATATACGCATACATCCGATCCATCTGTCTTCTTTTTCATTATCAACCTTCGGTGCGCTCTTGCTATTTCTGCAATTCCAAAACTTCTACAGAAACCTTGGTGCCAGTATGTGGGGTGCCCAGGCGCCCAGCCCAGAGAAGCATGCAGAGATTCCGCGGAGTATCCCTTGATCTGGAAGCTCGCCGTGCAGCTACACAACAAGTTAAAAGCCCGCGTTCGCAGAATTCAATCAGGCTTCGCGAAATGATGTCGTTCCATTACAAACACCACAGTGGCCTCAGCTTGCATGAGATGGGCTGAGATGCAGTCCACAAGGTATCGATGTGACAAGGCAACCGCTGCAACCGCCCCCAAAGAGTGTTGCAGAGCTTTCCGCGCAGTACTTCCGGAATGCACACCCCCAGAGAGAATCTCGCAGAGCATCCCTGGTAAGCCCAACCTACAAAGAGTCGTTTTGAACAGGAGGGTGGTTAAACTCAAGAATACGGTGGTGCTGATTCCAGGTGCGGAGGTCAGCGTTCCGTCAAAAGCATGGGGGTCAACAAAACCGGTTCTGGGGATTGGGGGTCAGAAATGCAATCAGATCGCTCTAGGCTCTAGCATGCTCTAGACTTAACACTTTAAACTTGTACTCTATACCACCCCTGAGCTGTTGCAACTACCGCGAAGTTGAAGAAGTTAACGTGTACTCGTAGCTACTGGAAACTAGTGGAGGTCTTGTCGACTCATGGCTGCAAAGTGCCACCTTCAGGGGATACACTTCAGGGTTTAGGGTGTAGGGTTTAGGGTTTAGGGTTTAGGGTGATATGATCCCCAACAGAGGCAAGCACGAAGACCCTCCGACCCTTCGTTGGTGGAGGCCTTGGAGATGAGCTCGGCCGACGAAGCTGACCTTGCACTGCAGATGCAACAGCAACGGGAAGAGGACATGTGCCTCGGGCTGCACGGATGGATATTCTGGCATTCTGGTATTCTAGCTCGGGGCTTCTGAGGATGTGCTGACCATGGTCAGGATTCAGGATGTCAGATCATCGTGCTTGTGGGCAGGTCATGTCATGTATTGCAGCAGCCTGCATGTGCTGGCAGGCGTGAGTTAGAGACGACCTTCAGAACGTTGGATGAAGACCAAAGCGGACAGGCAAGCCTACATCACCTTCAACGCAACCCTTACATGTAATGTTCGCATGCCCTGCATGCCATGCAGTGGACAAGCCCTGAAGCCCTTCCAATCTGCGTAGCAGCCATCCGACATGCTGTGTTGTGCAGGTCAGCTTGGAGGAGTTCATGCAGGTGTGCGACTCGTTTCGGATGCCCGGCCGTCCGCTGGTAGATGCATGTCTGGTGTGACCTTTGCAGGGTCTAAACCTGCAGATTGCTGGGCGCTGCCAGGCGTTCAAAATCAAGGAAGTCAAGACGAAGCTGACCTTGTTGGGCCTGAAGGATTCATTGTCATGTTATGTCTACTTGGCAAAGTGACCCTTGAAGTTCCTGGAATTGCGGCTACAGTAGATTCTCTACGCGTGCCACACAGGAAGCCGAGATGTTGGACCTCTTCCGTCTGCTGGATACGGACGGTGAGGGAGAGTGACTCTGTTGCATTGCGAGTTGAGGGATGACAGTTTGGGGTGGATCCTGGGATGACGAGTAGGACGCGGACGAGCTGGGACGAGCTCCTGACAGCTTCTCTAGGACTCTAGGCCACAAGTCAGGAAGTAGGACCTGCAGTGGTCCCTATCGGCTTGCAGTACGTGCCTGAGAGACACGGGCACTGACAAGACACGACGTCCCAGGCTCTCCCTGGACGAGTTCATGCAGGGCATGAGAGCTCTGGCAGCATGATGGGTGTCCTTTTCTGATAGCTCTGGCCATGGCTGTGTCATGCCTGCCGGTTGCCTGCACTGGTTACCCTGAATACCAGGCCAGCTGAAGGGGGAGGCCAGAAACAAGGAGCGGCTGTGTTGGGCATTGCAAGTCCTTGGTTTACGAAGAAGCCGCAAAGATCTCGGTTTGTGCTGCCGGTCTTCTGTGCTTGTCGCTGAATTCGCTCTGATTTGAAGGACATGCTTCTTCTTGAGAAGAGCATTGAGCGACTTGGAGCCAAGTTGCACAAGCTCGAAGGCAGGACTCCGGACGCTTTTGCATGAGAGCCTTTGAAGAAGGCCAGCTCGATATAGTTGCTAGTTGCTAGATGCAGGTTAGCTAAGCTCGGCAAACCCCATCTCTACTGGCTGATCCCCAAATCCAGCCCCTCAACCTAGAGCCAATATGTTTGGGTTGTGAACTCAAAGCCTGTGTCTCAGGGCAATCCCTCTAAAACAAAAAAATGATATTCTAAGCCCTACTACACGCAAGCTGCAGAATGCGATCCGGCGGACCTTGAATTCAAGAATGCCTTCGACACAGAGTCGCCCGGACTTCCTGGAACGGTCGAAAGCCGCTGGTGGCCTTAGGAGGTTTGCCTCGGATTGAAGGAACTCCAGGCCGTTGAGCTTTGCGACTCTTTGCGGTCCTGACGTCCCTGGAATGTCTGCCCTGCAGGTCCTACACCCCGTACAAGCTACTACGAGTTGCTCAAGAACCCCCCCAAAAATATAACTATTCTTCCTTATAATGGGGGGTTCTTAAGCTGTGCAACTTAGTCGCAGCCTAACGGCCCTAACGGCGATCCGAGGACGGGAGCCCGGCTCAGGCAGACATTCGAGAAGGTGGGGCATGTGAGGGCCAAAGGCATCAGTTTTCGGGATACTTCATATACTTCATGAGGAGGTTTCAAGTAAAACCAAGCAAAACGATGCGAGAGGCTGCTTTCTCTTGCGGCTTTCTGCTCGTTGCCTTCAGATCAGAGACAACATCGACGAGCGGCTGACGCAGGCGTGGCACAACACTCCAACATTATGATTCGGCCGACGTACAGGAGTTCTTAGGCCGCATGAGTGTGTATCCCAGCTGTGTTTTGCTACTGCCCGAGCACATGGCGCATGACGTGCGGATTTCACGCCGCATGGTGACCATCAAGCACGCGTCTGCAGATGATGCATCAGCGGAGTCGGCATTTCTAGTTGCATGCGCCTTTGCGCTTGAAGAGGAGGCAACAGGCGAGCATGGGTATCGCGCATTCGGCGCACCACGCCCGTGATTCAAACTGCATGCAGCAGTTCAAAACACGTCAGCTGCAAAGCAACATCGGTCACCTTATCAGCCTCCCCTCCTGGCAAAAGGACATGCAAGCTTAACAAAGGCCTCAACACATGCAATTGAAACCCTGAGCCCGAAACTTGCTTTGAGTTGGGTTGCGGGCTAAAAGCTGCCGACCCGTACATGGTCTGTCGTGTTTGCATTGTTGTCTATCGTCCCGATGAGTTGCCCTGCGCTGTGGCTAGTCTGCTTGGCGGGTGGCGCCGAAAAGCATGCTGGGCGGGTGGCCGAAACACACCGAAAGGGCATAAGTCGCTGACCAGCTGCCCTTAAAACTCCGATCCGCAGAGGTTTCAGAGAGCTGACTTGCAATTGGCTCGAGACTCTAATCATGAAGTTGAGCCCTGTGCCTCCCCACACCCAAAGCCCACGCCCAGCACAGGCCCCCGAGCATAGGCCCTCAGCATATCCTGAACCCCAAACAAAAAAACCTCTTCAAGTGAGCAGGCAGAGGCCGAAGTTCAGGAGGTGGTTGACTTCCTGAGCCGCCTTTCAGAAGAGCCACTCGTAGAAAAGCAGATTGGGCGTTCGACTGTCTGCGAACTGGTTTGTAGGGTTCGGATGCGTTCCCGTTAACTTCTGCTAAATCAGGAGCCCTCTGCAGCACGCTCCAGAGGGCTCAGGGATGTTCAGGGCTTTGGCCCGCCCCAAACCTTGGAAGGGATTGTGGTTTCTCCCCCCCCCCCTTATTAAAGGCAAGAGGACAGGCCTTTACAGCCCGACCTTGAACCCACTAACCGAGGCAGATGAAGTCCAAAGCCCACTGTAAACCTGTTCTTTAACCCAGAGGCCAAGCATTGGAAACGAAAGGCCACTGGGCTTGAGTTTTCAAGAGCTTGGCCTGTAACCGCAAGAGACCAGGCCGTTGAAATCAAAGGCTCCCCCTTGCCTTAAGATGTCAAGAGTCAGTGCCAGACTTGTCGTGCAAGAAGGCGGCCCAAATTAAACAGGAACCAACATGAGCCAGTCTCTCAGCAACCTGTAAGCAGTTGAGGTCCTTCGGGCCTCAGATGGCCTCCCCATGGCTATTTGTCCTGTTTTCATATGAGCGGCTCATATGGGTAACAGAAGGTCGATTTACACGATATTCCGCCAATCAAAGGCGTCTGTGCGCTCAAGTAAGTTACGCCGACAGGGTCCGCTCCCCCTCGTTTGTAGTGGTGGTGTGCGATCTTGTTGACACGAACCCCTGAATAAGCAACCTCACCTGGCTTCCCTGGTTTGGAAGCCATGTGCAAAGACAAGGTTCGCAGCTCTTCCGCCTGGATTGGATGCAACTCTTTGGCAGATAGCACCGAGTTTAGGACTTGTGCCCTTGAGCAGGTGGGCCGCTAGGTGACCGCAGCAAAAGCGGCAGTGCTCACATCGTAAAGTTTGCTCGGTACAACATGGTAACATGGCGGCACGGGGCATGTTTTTTCGTTCATGTCGCTGAAGCAGTGGAAGTGGAAATCCGCAAAGCTTCCTGGCCCAGTCACACTTGCATGATCCCTCTATGGCTGCGCATGGCCGGCAGCAAAGGTGAAAAAGCTTCTGGCCCAGGAAGATGAGCCGCCACCCAGAGAACAGTTGCAGGCGAGACGAAACAGTCGTTTTGAAGAGTTTTTGTCTCTATGCTTGGAAGCAGAGGCACAGAAAGATGCTGCTGTGTAAGCGGTAGAGGATTTCTTGGACACAGAGGTTCGTGGCACAGAAGTGTGACATGTAGGCCAACGTAGGCAAAACCAATAAATTTGGGCCTCGAGAGGATAGCTGATTTGCCCAGGCTTTCCTGGCAGATTCAGCTTTCACCCCGAAAACTTTGGCGAGAGACCTAGGGGCCATGATCCCCAAACGGCCCTAGGAGCCCTTCATGCCTGAGTTCTCTGACCTAAGACATCTCTCTGGAGCATCGCTTTGTGCTGGGCAGGCGTCGCCAGCCTCAGGCCTGTGTGCAGAACATATATATATATATATACATATGTATTTATATATATATATATGGTTATATATAGAGGCCGATAGGGAGTCAGCCAGCTTCTTGCCAGAGACGGCCTCAAGACATCCCAATAGGGACCAACATCCACAAGCCCTGCAGGAAGTTGAACGATCCACAGGTCGACTTGCATCATTCGTGGTGGATCCCGAAGTCCCAACTGTCCAACGGACTTCCTTCCAGCGAGCAGCATCAACTTCCTGAAGCTCTAAGCCTCTGCACCGTGATGGTCACTAGGACTTGAACACCCAAAGCTGCATACAGCAAAGCTTCTAAAACCTGCAGGGCACATGAAAGCGCGTGCAGGAAGAGAAGCTCCATCTACACAACGAGGTAGCTTCGTCGGAAGCCTCGTCAGCAGAAGGCTTAGGATTCCTTTGAAGACTTTCGAGTTCCACACGACATCCGAAGCTAAGGGAACAGACAGGGACCTCACTCGACCTTGAACCTGCAAAACAACCCCCCACGAATGTCAAGGTGAATCCACCATGGGGCCTTCGGGAGCCGAAGGCCAGGACCAGGATTCGTCTTCAGGTTATGTAACAAGTGGGTTGGGGGTTCAGGGCAAAACAGGCAACGTGGGCCAACAAAGTTTAATAATTGTTTTGAAAAGCCTGTGCCATTTCTTGAGAGCTTGGAGAAGCCCTTTGTCATGGCAGACTGCTGGGAGCATCCCTTCGACGATGTCAGTGATCGTCAGAACAGACATTCTGGATTCCATTCCGCTTCTGAACTACTTGCAGGTGCGGGCAGAAACGCAGCTGTGCCGGTGCAGCGGGGTAGCTTGCTCAGCGAGGCTCTCAGCCCTTGAGCATCTTCCGTCACCTGCAACTTCTGCGTCACCACCTTCCATCCGACCGCTGCACATAGCTCGTACGAAGACGAGATGCAGCTGGTCGTGGCCTCCTTCGCATTCTTGTTCAAGTTCGGATCCGGAGCCGTACAAGACCTACCGTCATACAATGGCCCCCCGTAGGAATATGCAGGCCCTGCTGGTGCCCAAATCCCTACTACATACCGCACAGTGCCTGCTACAGACCTGCTCCTGTCTTTACCATGTTGCTATGACTTGCCGCAAGCATAAGTTGCCGAGGTGAATCAACCCTTGGGGCTGCAGGCTTAGCCCTCGGATAGAGGGCATTGCAGGGTGTTGTGTAGCTTGTCCTGCTCGCTTTTGTCGTCTTTCGCTTTGCTATGCTACGCCCACCATTGAGATGCATTGAGCCATCGGGTATGACAGCAGCAGCAGCCGATGGTGGGCATGGTGCACATGCATAAACGTCCAAGCCTCTAAGATGACACCACCCCTCCCGAACACAACTTATCAAACACACGCATGCGCACCCGCACACCTGCGCCTGCACCCTTCATGGAACCAGCCAAAAGACTCCATGGAAAATCTCTTGACGAACAGTGAATCCGCGGTCATAGAACTATCCTGGCGGCCAACGAGTGAGTGAGGTTATTAATACTTGTTCATGAAGGTGAATGACATGGTAATTCCTGGTGTTGGAAGTGAGGTTTCGTTTACAACAGTATTAAATTCACGCACCCATTACGCTTTTCATTCGCTTCACCTTTATAGGACTCTTGAAACTCGTGATAATGATACGGTTAG